AAAAAAAACTTGATCCTGCAGCTGAGAATGTATATTTTCACACAGTCTATCAGAGAGGGACGAAGGTATTCTAAGATAGATAATTACAATAAGTGTGACACATTTTTCACATTTCTTTAACTAAAATCTATTGTGTTTACCTGAAAGGTGTTCTGGTTGATGCGTAATGAAGGTGTGAATGAGTGCATAATATTTCCTTTTACTTTCCGCTTAACATTAGCGCTATTCGAATTCGGTAAACAGTGTGTTAGCGTTCATTTCTGGTGTGTTTTACGTATCATTCGTGTTTATTTCTTTACGATTCATATTTTATAGAGGGAAACTGTTGATTAACTCTTATGGCTTATATGTATGGATATAAAACTAATCGTTACAATATACAGTCTAATCATTAGGGGAAGCCGGAAATATCGGTATATTTACATTAAGCAGTTAACATGTGACGTGTACCAATTTGTCACGTCACACTAAATTATGCGCTCTCGTGTGACAGTGTAGCATAAGGTAGCTAACAAACTAGCTTGATATCCTTGAGACGCTGATTTTATTAATCTTGTTAAGTAGATCGTACGGAGACAATTATTAAAAAATACGATTTCGTTTTTTTGTTTCATCAGATATTCTAATAAAGCAACCTTAAATACATCAACAATTTACAGAGAAAACAATAAATATATTCACTGATAGAAGTACAAGTTTAAAATGAAAACAGGTTGCAATGACATTATTATCGGTTCGAACTTCGCGCAAAGCTGTACGAGGGCTACCTGCGCTAGCCATCCCTAATTTAGGAGCGAAAGACTAGAGGTAAGGCAGATAGTCATCTCCCCACACACACATAGCCAACTCTTGGGCTACTCTTCTACCAAAGTGGGAGTGACCGTCACATTATAACGCCTCCACGGCTGAAAGGGCGAAAATGTTTGGTGGGATGAGGATTAGAACCCACGACTCTCAAATTGCGAGTCAAGCGTCCTGACCACCTGGCCATGCCAGACCCATTATTCTCGACCTTTCTGTGCAAAGTATATTATTAACGGACTCTGTGCAAATTAAATTAGCACATCACCCTAAATAGAGACTTCTGGCAGAAGTACAACTAAACCATATTTGATATGCGTAAAAAAAAGATGATTAGTTACATTTTAATACGTATATAAAATTCTCATACACATATAACCTCCAGTGGTACAGCGGTATGTCTGCTGATTTATTAGCACATCACCCTAAATAGAGACTGCTGGCAGAAGTACAACTAAACTATATTTGATATGCGTAAAAAAAAAAAAGATGATTAATTACGTTTTAATACATATATAAAATTCTCATACACATATAACCTCCAGTGGTACAGCGGTATGTCTGCTGATTTATAACACTATAATACAGGTTTCGATACCCGTGGTGAGCAGAGCACAGATAACTTATTGTGTTGCTTTATGCATAACTTTAAAACAAACAAACCTACAGATATAGCTTTTTGCATTTCAGTTTGGTTTCCTAAAAACTTACAAAATAAATCGTTTGTCAGATAAATAAGAATATCTGATAAAGAAATAAACTACCATTATAACAACAATGGTTTTACATATGGTTAAAATTCTTACTTCTGGTTTAATTGTTAGTGTTTGGTTGTTGTAGCATAAAGCAACACAATATACTATCTGCGCTCTGCCGGATTCTAGCGTTGTACCGCTTGAAAATTTTTTCAACGTTAGATGTCAGGCGAAGTCATCCCTTTAAAAGTTTTGGTTGTTAAGCGCAAATCAACACAATGGGATATCTGTGCTTTGCCCTCCACGTGTATCGAAACTCGGTTTTTAGTGTTATAAGCTTTTAGACTTACCACTGAAGAGAAATTAGTCAAAAAATGACACAATATAAGCCAAAACTAAGACTTTTCTTAACTGTCGAGTCCTCAATGAATTGTTACTGGTTTTTATTTATCTTAAATGTTATTCTGTTTATATCTATCAGTCTTTTTTTCTTACCCCCCCCCCCCAGTGGCACATCTGTATGTCTGCGGGCTTACAACGCTAGAAACCGGGTTTCGATACCCCTGGTGGGCAGAGCACAGATCGCCCATTGTGTATCTTGTGCTTAACTTCAAACAAACTTTATTTCTTTTATGACTGACGAAATAATATTACGTGTAAGGGAAAACTTTAAAAGATAAACGTTTTTTTCTTAGAATTATCAGTTCTATATCGGTGTTCATCTACTATAGAGTGTGTTTGATAAAACGTAATAGAATATCAAAATGTCTAATTTTATTGCGATTCAGACTCGTACATTTTCATGTGCATCAGTTCAAACAAACATTAATAAAAATATATCAAAATGTTTAATCTTGCATCACTGCACTATTGACTCTAGCCTAATTGCTCGCGCCCTCCTGAGTTAAAGACAAAGCTACACAATGGGTTATTTGTGCTGTGCCTACGACGGGTATTGGAACCCGGTTTTTAACGTTATAAGCCTTCAGACTTACCACTGTGCCACTACAGGGCTAATAGTTGTGAAAATATTTTTGATTGGCTCATATTAAAATATTTCTGAGCAAGTGAACTTATCTGTAGAAAGTAAAATCCACAAACACTAGCTTAAATGTTATACCAAATGTAATCCTGGTGTACCCAACCTTTGTCATGATTTATTTATGCAGATTGAAATATTTCTTAAGCACAAGTTTTACTGAATGTTTCCTTAACATTACTTCAGTACAAAGGACACTTAAAATACTTGAGAATAAAAACTGTAAGTATACAGTTGAAGGCAGAAAATAACATCCTGCATGATGCTGCTTTGAAGACACTTATGTAATGCACTAATCTTGTATCCGAAAGGGGGTCTAGTGGAAGTGACATGTCTGTGCTAATGGATGTCTATGGTCAGACAGAAGCTAGAAGTTGTGTGCCTGTTTCGGTTTCTTATGTAGGAGCCAGTAGTTACATTTTTACCAATTTTCCGTCTAATTGGATCAAACAGTGATGGGCAGAATGTTGAAAGGATGCAGGTCGCTATATTACCTGTCATCATGCCAACAATAACAATGGGCAACACAGCTGAGATCTCGTAATGTACAAGATCCAATGAGCCTGGGAAACTGGAACGTCCACATGTACAAAGAATACATAGTCTACAGTTAATAAACAGATCAGTACAATTAGACCTGTAAGAATTTCACTTGATCAGGGTAATAGTTAGTAGTTGTGGGTGAGCTGTCACGACATTTAAACCTGCATGTCCAGCTGAACTTCAAACTACTCAGAATCCATATGACCACACTTTTTCTGTCCTGACTCTTCATTATATATGATGGAATCACCGATTCTTTTTGGTTATTTTGTCGGTAATTGGACTTGCCAAAGGTTTCACATACGTTCATCTTTGCTTGTTTGACTATCCATATTCTATATTCCTGCACAGAAAGGGACAAGGTATTATATGCCACTATGAATGCCCTGAAAAGCCAAACACTTTGGGGATCTTTTGGCCTGACTGTACCTAATGTTGGGCCTGACGAGGAAGAACTTCTGCAGGTGGAATCTCCTGACATGATGTTGCTGATAGCCATGTCCACATTGTAATAAAACAGTGGCTGCTTCCACAATCATGACCATGTTATGTGAGCTCTCTGCTTCAGGAAAAGCCAACATCACTAGCTGTGGCCCCTGTAGAGCTAACCTGGGAGAAATGATATTCTTAATTTTAAGCAAGAACGTTTTTCTTAATGAGACACACATATTGAACACATTTCATAGAAGGTTTACCTTTAAAAATATACATGTTTGGAACCATGAAGCAGTTTACATAGCTTGAGTATGCTATATCAAAACGATCTTGAAGTCTCACCATGTATTTATATCTATGTTGCTACATCCAATCATGCTCTATCTGACAGCATCACATCTTGGCAATGGCCCTACAAAATAATTTACATTGCAAAAGGTTCTGTCATAAGACTATCATGTCAAAACACGCTACTAATACTTCCTGTGTGTTTTTCATAAGCCATCTAGTGTACGGAACAACACCCAATTCAATAATCCAGTCACACATATATTCATAAGCGCTGAATCTTGCATCTTGACTAGTATTGTTTCCTATGTAATAGCATAAATAACCACTTCACAGTCCATATGCAACGGTTGAATAGAAGAGATGACTGGAACTCATACTCATTTGGCCTTCTTTCCAGAAAGAGATCTTTCTTAATTATGTTACATAGTGTTGCCTGTCACACGTGGACCATGTTTGTTGCTTGTCACACGTGGATCATATTTGTCACTGGCTTTTTCGTTTGTGGAATCTCATCTGTTCAAAGAGCCACAATTTACCACGGCTGGAAAACCACTTGTTGCAGGTCTATTCTGTATGGTCCTGATGCCCATAGTTGATCCATATTCCTTTCTTTTCTCAATGTCATAAAGCACAAGAGATATCATATTCTAAATCCCCGATCAGAACATTTGTTTATGATCTCATAGTATGAAATTGTTTGTCGGAAAGAGCAGCTACAGTTATGCATTGATTCTATTGTAAAATAGCCAATTTCTTCTCTACGATGAGATGTTTTATGCGGCCTTTCAGATAATTGTTAAATATTTAGTAATCCTGAGAGAGATTCATTCGATAATGAAATGATTAAATAAGTCAAATTTTACTCCAGGCCAGTAAGTTAAAAAGAAAGTGATAACCTAAGTTTCTTGACTTTTAGTAAAAATATTAGCGTGTGTACAGCGAAACGATATTAAGAAACGTCAATTTTAATTGACATTATTTAAAATAAAAGTTTTTATATAGATAGGCAACATCATCAAAAGAACAGGAAAGCTCACATTTCATGGTGACTTCATAAATATTTTATTCTAACATTTTAACATCCATTTAATTAAATAGTTAAAGACCTGGAGTGTTTTGATTTCTTATACGTAGTATCAGTGAGAGACATCTGTGTATTTAATATATATATATATATATTAATTTATCTGTTTTAATTGACAAATTATACAAACATGTATTTTAAATGTATATACTTTGGTTAGTTTCATATAAGTCTTCTATACGGCAACAGTTTTACCACCCACTGTAAAATGCAGCGGCATCTTCCGGACGAAACTGTCTTTTACCAAAGTCTACTGACTGTTTCACAATTTCTGGATTTTCTGCTTGAAGTTGACTGAAAAGAAAAACATTGAATATTAAGGGTATATTTATGATATTCACACCCGCAACCACGTAGATAACTTTATTCATCACTTATAAACTAGAAAACTAGACCCTGTACGAATGCCCGCGGAGTTGGAAAGAAAACATTTGTAAGAATAGCATTTTTACCACAAAGTTACTATAAATTCTAAGTAAAGAAGTTTCTCTTTAATATTATTTTAATGCATAAGTAACTACATCATAAGTCTGATTATTTATTAGTTAAATAACGAGCGCAATTCAACAGAATTGTAATAATTCCCTTTATTTTAATCTTGTGTGACATAGCATGAGTGTTTCCTTTTGATTGGGTCAGAGTGTGGCCTATTGGTGTATTGGAATTGGAATCTAAAAGTCTTGGGTTCGAGATATGTACGCTTCGTACTTCCAACTGTGTGTGACACGCAATCTCATTATCTGGCTATGAGTAGTAGCTGCAAACGGCGGGTACTGTCAACTAATTGTCTTCCCTGTGCTACGTTTAATTCAAAATTAGGAATGGCTATGCTTTAACTATATAAGTGTCTCTGGCCTGGGCTAAACAGGTGTGTATAAGGTATCATTCAAGTGAATAAACAGCCAAATCGTTAGATTTTTTTTTTAAACCACAAATGACTCCCAATAATATAAGCTGCAGCCTACATTAACAGTGAAAATAAATTAAGTTCCAAGAGTTTTTCTTAATAACTAGATAATATCCTTTGAGAATAACTCTAGAAACTGAGTGCAAGAAAAACAATAAGTCCGGGCTATAACTACAACACTTCATGATCTGGAATAACAGATCATGTTGTTTCTTTGTTTGTAATTAAGCACAAAACTACACAATGGACTATCTGTGCTCTTCTCACCACGGGTATCAAAGACCGGTTTCTAGCGTTGTAAGTCTGCAGATATACCGCTGGGCCACTGGGGGGCTATGAATGTAGTTAACGTTAACTTATGTCAAATATAATAGCTCAATACTAGCAATAATAGGAGTTGGAGGAGAGTTGAACACCCAATAACATGCCCCTTGTTCCAAACTATCATCCCATAAAGTTTGGTTGAGGTTGGCCCAGCGACGTAGGAGTAGTTGGGCAACGGACAAACAGACAGACACACATATTTTTGTGCTTTATACATATATATATAAGCATCTCTACAGCTGTAAGTATACACGTGGCGACATGTATTGTCGAATGATTAGTGATTTTGTGTTACCATATATAAATCGTTCAAGCAAAGTGCGACTAATCATCTGTATAAGATTGTTTTTATGTGTGGTGGGTGGTTAGTAAACTTCACAAGGTTGTCTTTGCTTGTACATATTTGGAATATGCGTCATTATCTAGGTTTTCTTTGTTGACTTGCTGTCATTGAGAAGTAAGATTGAGTAAACAGCATATAACAAGTGATGTGGAGTATGCAGTGCTTGTGGTAACAAAAATATGTTTATGAAAATCCAGTTTTTTGTTCGGATTGTGGAGATAAACTGGATTTGTCATGGCATGCAGTAGATCACTTGCTGTCCAATAAATATATATATATATTTGTTATTTAACTGGTTTACTCATTTTGTTTCATCACCACTTTGACCTCTGTACAAGTAATTAGTCTATTTCGACAATAAAGACTGCCTAGGTTAAGTGACTAGCGACAAGGCATTATATATTTCGGGTGTAAATATGATTACGTCTATCAGGAAGCATTTACTTGTACAAACCACAAAAACATTTATAAAGAACTATAGTTGCGAAAAGTACAAAATATATTTCACAAGCAAGCGATTAATGTGGTAACTTGAACAAAAAATAATTATATAATGAATTTGCATAGAGTAAACATTTAAATACCAAATTAGGCTTTCTTTTATTTTTACACGTAACAGCAATGTTAAAGGAAGAGTTTACTCTACATTGAGAGGGTTGATGTATGTCTATAACAAGTAACAGCAGATCAACACACCTCATTACAAAGACAATGCCAGCCTTACAGGAAGAGTTAAATATACAATGAGAGGGTTGACGTATGTGTATAACAAATAACGCCAGCCTTACAGGAAGAGTTAAATATACAATGAGAGGGTTGACGTATGTGTATAACAAATAACGCCAGCCTTACAGGAAGAGTTAAATATACAATGAGAGGGTTGACGTATGTGTATAACAAATAACGCCAGCCTTATAGGAATAGTTAAAACTACACTGAGAGGGTTGACGTATGTGTATAACAAATAACGCCAGCCTTACAGGAAGAGTTAAAACTACACTGAGAGGGTTGACGTATGTGTATAACAAATAACGCCAGCCTTATAGGAATAGTTAAAACTACACTGAGAGGGTTGATGTATGTGTATAACAAATAATGCCAGCCTTATAGGAAGAGTTAAATCTACACTAGCCTTCAATGTTTCCTGATTTTATAAGTTGTGTGACCGCAGCGATTACTATATAGTCATTAATTACCTTTATTTTGTGCAAGGTCAAAGTTCTGACTGATTCCTAAACGTTCGGATTACATTCAATTTGTGATATATCATATCACTCATGCGTATTGATTAAATTATTGTCGAATTTTATTGATTTAGTATAATAATTTTCAACGTTGAGAAGATTATTATTTTTTGATACACATTTTGTTAAATTAAAAACCTAAAACTACTTGCTGAAAAACACGTTTTTATTCATGTATTTCATTCATACTACTCCTACAACAGAACACTTAAAAGTATTTCATCAAACTTATGTTTTTTTCTCTTCCATCAACTAAAAATATAATCGGCTTTGCTTTTTTGATAAAGCATGTTAACCCAATTTGTTTTCTTTTACGGCCTTCTAGAGAAGCCACATGTTTCCAGTTTTCGTAATGCTTGGACAGTTGAAAAGTCAGGCATCAGTTTCGTGACTCCAATGGCCTACAATTTGCATTAATGTGCTACTAGATCACCGCCGAGCCTTACTATCCCAGTTTTTGTATCGTTTTAATTACTGTAATAAACAGTATAAATTATGGTTGTTGTGTGACTAGAACCTTTCCTGTTACCTATGCCACTTTTAGGTCTCAAAACTTGAAGGAGAATATAAAAGTTGCACAGTTCATTACTTATACGACATTCATGTTCATGTTCATCTTTTACTAAACCGTGAAACACCTTGAAACCGTGAAATGATACTTCACTGAGATCTAAAATGATTCGATTCTAAGCAACACATATTCAATAATAATTCAAGCAAAGCATCATATATATATATACATTCGTATTTGAAAAGGGGTTTGGTTTTAACGTTTAATTTAAAGATCAATAAATGCTAAATGATTTATCACTAAACACTAAACGCTATGCGACCAATGATGAAAACCAACTTTAACACAGGCTTGGCAAAGTGTTTAAACTGATATAATACTCATGGAAAATAACGCAAAGCTAGTCAAACATTGGTGTACGTGTAAACATCACTAAAAACTACATAAAAAATAAAGCATGTTCAAAATGAATAACTGGTCAGATACGTAAGCATCACATAGTGTAACCTCAAGCATGAGAGTTGGAGTTAATGTAAATATCACTTGCCAGGTTTGTAAGCATCACATAGTGTAACCTCAAGCATGAGAGTTGGAGTTAATGTAAATATCACTCGCCAGGTTTTCAGCAACGCCTTAACTTGAAAACAAGTCAAGTATTTCCTACAGGCAGATTTCGTGCTTGTTTTTGAGAGTTTTTTTTTCAATCTGGATTATCTTTAAAACAATACAAAGCTATTGAAATAACGAAAAACTACTATTTAATTCTTACAGCTTGCAAGCCAGCCCTCGACAAGATGTAAAGGTTTTCCTGCCCATGGATTCTTCCACGATGTTATGTAGTCCGCCGGTTCTGTACACGTTTTCTGCAAAGTCTTCATTAAAGGTTTCTTCTAGAAGAATGCAACAATGTATCGTTCAATAACTTATAAACTTTATAAGTATCATTTTTTAACTACCAAAATATTGAACACACGATATGGATTTAGCATAGTTGAACATTAGAATGGTTTTACCAGCTTATCTTAACAAGGAATGATTTGTCTTTTTTATTTTGATAACTGGACTCTTGAAACTTAAACCATCGGTAGAGCCAATTGTTTAATTTGCACAACAGACACTTTGGAACAACGAGTGATTCTTGTATCTATCAAGAACCCGTATATTTTCGTAGCTAACGTATTGTTGTGTATCTTTTATATACTTCTAGATATCAGGCAGCACACCTCCAACTCTTGAGTTACGCTTATCTTGCTAAATATAAGAACTGGACCCGCACATTTATAACGCAATCGCAATCTCAAATTGCGGAGTGATATATTTTGCGTTAACGGGACGCGAATGATGGAGATCCATCAATCTAATCCATCATTCTACACTCTAATCAATCGCCACTCTTGTCTTCTTTTACTGGTATTGTAGCACTTGTAGGGGATGTTTTATCGTGTGACTTATTTAATGTATTTCAACAACTGAAAATCTAATGTACCTATGACTATTTATAAATTTTCATTATTTTTGATTTAGTTTCAGAATCAATTGATTTGTACAAAAATAGTATATATATATATAGTAGTTGTGAAAATTCCAATACTGGTAGCATCTTTAATTTCATGAAGATACACCTGCTTGCTAGGATTAATATAAACGAGAGAATGAGCTTCTGTTGGATTCTGGAGTCATTAATTAATAATTTTTCTGGAAATTGGTAAGATATTTTTGGGCAACGGATGACACAAATGGATTTTTCAAGATTCCCCAGATCGTGAGATTTAAGCCAAAGGGTTATTTCCTTATCTTTATTCATAATAAAGCATTTTTTTGTCACATAATGAACCAGCGAAAGGACTGAAGCAATGGTAATAGCCTAAAATATGTGGAAGCAGTGAAAAAAAAAACAGAAATAAAGAAGTTCAAATCGTTTAGGAATTTCATGAAATAAATTCTTGAGATAAATAAGCAACTGTTTTGTTTTTGGCACAAGAACTATTTGATGTGGAAAGATACGTTAACTTATAAAACTACCGTGACTTTTCTATTGTTCAAAACTTTTGTAACGTTCTTTTAACAATGTTTATAATATTATTGTTGTTTTATGATTGTATTAATATTACTATATTACTACTTGCCATATATTACTTACGTGAAACAAAATATTAATTAATTAAAAATTGAAGCGGTTGAAAAACAAAACGTTGAGTTGAAAGTTTCAAACTTTACTAACTGTGTTGAAATAAAAACTACAATTGCATATTTTATTGTTGAAGTTGCAAATATATAGGTTCGTCTGTAGAATATCATTAGGGAAAAGCAGTAATAAGACTGTGTTATATGCTAGTGTACGTAAATGTTAACCTACAGGTTATAATATTAAGGGTGCTGGATGTGATGTGTTCCAATGGAAGTTTAGTTACGAGTATCATCGTTTGTCTGTTTATTTTTGGATTTTCTTCGTTGGTGAATATAGCTCCTATGTATTTTCTATTTAACATCTTTGGTTTGTTGTAAGATAGAAACTGTAAATAGGTTTTGGTTATTTATTTTTTAGGTTCTATGTTTTCGTAGGACGTGTTCTGCTAGAACGGTTTTATGTTGTTCATGTTTATATAAGATATCATTATATTACGATATGTGCGTGTAAAGGTCTTTCAGTTTCCACTACATATGTGCCTCCACGTATATTACACGTGATTTGATACACTACGCTATCATTATATTACGATATGTGCGTGTAAAGGTCTTTCAGTTTCCACTACATATGTGCCTCCACGTATATTACACATGATTTGATACACTACGCTATCATTATATTACGATATGTGCGTGTAAAGGTCTTACAGTTTCCACTACATATGTGCCTCCACGTATATTACACATGATTTGATACACTACGCTATTATTATGGCATATTTGCACTGCTTCGTTTTCTCGGACACAGCATTGTTTTCTGTGACGTTTTGGTTTTGAATATGACGGGCATGGGCGTCCACAGAAATTTCTCAGGGGGGAGGAGAAAATTCTAAAGCAAAATTATATTGTATATATATCATGAAAGAATAAAGAAATGAATATGTTTCTTATTTTCCAGGGGGCAAGTGCCCCTTGCCCCTCTGCGGCTGCTCATGATGAGGAGTGAACTAATTATTCTTTCAGTGTTTTACCTTAAAAGAACAAACGTCAAAGATACATGATCGCGAACATTGACTGTTTCACATTGTTATTCAAGCGAAGCCGAGTTAACAGGTAATACACAACTGACCAAGAATTAGTTTGTAAGTATATATATATTGAAAACCTACCTTCATTTTGGCAGAAGTAGGGGTTTACGCCCATGATTAAACACAACAGTTTGTTTTCAGGAGGAGGTACTCTATTCGCTACATCGCCAGATAGGAATGCTGGGTAAGATTCTGAAACGAAAAGCATACTCCTGCAATGTTACGGCTTCACTGTCAATAAAAATGTTTTGAAAAGAGAACTCAAAAAATAATAGCCAAAAGTCAGCAACTCGAAAATTATTAATAACAAATCCTATCCTTATATTAAAGTTTTCAGTATTGACTGGATGGAAACCATATTAAAGAAAGACGACAAACCACTTTATTTTTATTTTTTAACTAGACGCTTGAGTTTACGCCTTTTCGAAAGTCTTTCAAATTTTCCCTCTAGTCTTACACTGCTAAATTAGGGACGACTAGCGCAGATAGCCCTCGTGTAGCTAAGCGCGAAATTAAAAAACAAACAATGTCTTTCAAATTATAGTAATCGAAGGTAATCTAAGACGGCAACAATATAATAGTATTGTTAAACTAGTCATTACAATAATCAATATTAGTAATTAAATACAGTAACAGCTCGGTATACGAAGTAGATACATTCTCAGAGCTTCGTTCGTATATTGAATAATTTATAACATTATTACTATGGACATGCGTTCCCAGCCTTCGTAACTTACCATTCATATTGTAAACAAAGATAATTTATTTGAATATAATATTATACGGTATTTTATACTGTACAATATTAAAATTAAAAACTGACATAAATAACGGAAACACAATGTACTGTCATCATAACTCCGTTCATGGGTTTGGTGTCTCCCAGTGATGAGGAGTTAGTTGTGGGAAGGGCTGACAGGATCCATTGATGAAGGGGAACATTGTTTTTAGAAGAAGGCATGAAATGTGGACTGTTTTGCCTTCTTCCGTTTCACAGACACCTATTGTAAAGAATCCTGCCCAACACACAAAACCTGTTAGTTGAGACATATGATCCCCGCCACACCAAACATGCTCGCCCTTTCAGAAGTGTGGACGTTATAATGTGACGGCCAATCTCACTATTCGTTGGTAAAAGAGTAGCCCAAGAGTTGGCGGTAGGTGGTGATGACTAGCAGCTTTCCCTCTCGTCTTACAATGCTAAATTATGGACGGCTTAAACGAAGCGTCGGGTGAAAGCAATATTACTTATTTCTCTGCATATCTATTGGTTTTTGCCCATCCCTGAACTATGGATAAAGGTGAACTTTCTTTCTTTTTGTTACCATGTAATGGATTGTGTGATTTGACTAAGTTTTCAACTTATAGTTATACTGAATTCGCAAGTTATACTGCTCATACTCATGCAAACATTCGTTTTTTGTCATTGCATATCTATTAGTTTTTGTTTCAGTAACTTTTGAATATCATAAGTCACGTACAAATTTCAAATTTTTCTGTCTCCAGATAGATCAGCGATAATTTTACGAAGTTACAAAGCTACAATCCGGAGCTTGATTCCCCGTGGTGGATACATCAGTTAGTCCAGTGTGGCTTTGCAAGCTGCAATCTGGAGCTTGATTCCCCGTGGTGGATACATCAGTTAGTCCAGTGTGGCTTTGCAAGCTGCAATCTGGAGCTTGATTCCCCGTGGTGGATACATCAGTTAGTCCAGTGTGGCTTTGCAAGCTGCAATCTGGAGCTTGATTCCCCGTGGTGGATACATCAGTTAGTCCAGTGTGGCTATGTTATAAACAAACAAATTGTACTAATTCTTTTCTGAGAAACTAGTGATCAGAAACATCCTAGGCAAAATTAGGAAAAGTCTGGAGTTTGGAACATAGAGATACTTAACGCATTGTGTTCCGTGTGATTATTTTCCGAGTGAAACCACTAAACGTCGCTTTTAACGTAAAAACATATCATATAAAATACCAATAACATTCAACAAAATCAACTAAGATCTTGTAGTTTCTGCATTCATGAGACGCACTCTTGAACATAAGGTTATCGAATTTTTTATATATCATTTAGTTTCGTTTTGAATTTCGCGCAAAGCTACATAAGAGCTATCTGTATTCTTGCCACCACGGGTATCGAAACTCGGTTTCTAGCGTTTTAAATCCGCAGACATACCACTGTACCACTGGGGGGCGTACCATCACTCATTTCTATGGTTAGCTTTCCTTAGACAAAGGTCAGTCCCACAATATAGTGGCAATAACAATTTACAGCCAACTTCATATGGATAATACAACTTTCAAAGAACTCCAACGTTTTATTCAATATCGAATGACAGCTATAGTTCTAGGCCTTACATGATAATTATTTACTTCTAAAAATTAAAGTTAGGCTTAAGCTCACTTATGAAATACTACCCTCTAGCTTTAAATGCTAGCAGAAATATGATTAAATAACTAATATTCCATTATTACACCCACGTGATAGAAGTTTGTAACAACACTCACTGGAAAACAAAAATCACTTCGAAGCCGCTTTACAGTTTTCCTTTCTTCTCCTGAAACCAAATACGTTGTGATTTGTAGACCTACACCTGATTCGACACATCCCATAATATCACACTATTTTCTCTTTCTAGCCAATCCAAAATAAGGTCGTATGCTAATTACACATTTCCGTTGTTCAACATTATAACATTTTGTATTCTTTCGTTGACCTTTCCAGTGTATATTTACAAGTTTATGGCTTGACAAGCTAACAATTTATTACGTTAATTAACTTTTATCAAGTAAAAAATAACAATTAAATTAACAATGCAATTCTAATTGAAATATTTTAAAACTACATATATCAACTAATGTTCCGGTGATTCAGCGGTAATTTTACGAACTCATAACACTAAAATCTGGAGTTCGAGCCCCCAGCGATGGACAGAGCGCAGCTAGCCTATTGTGTAGCTTTGCAACAAAATAAAACAACCAGATCTATCGTCTGAGAGTTTAACATACTTTTTTTTTATTGCTACACATTAGAAATCGATCGTCATAACCCTAATTTGTCGAATTGAAGTGTAGCACTGACCAAAGCTAGTTTGATTTTATTTTTCTCTGGATAAACCTCAGGTTAAGAAAATATTCTTATGATTTACTAAGTACAGCTAATACCGAATGTAACTCTTTATTGTTTGAACATACCCTAAGTTTTCAGTAGCATATATCATATTGGATTGTTGATAATGTTGCCCAGCTTGCCTTTCCAACCTCTGCCAGTCGTTGTTTTAATGGATTAAAATCACATATACTCTAGATAGAGAATGTACTGTTTAGAAATGTTATAAGCCTAATACTAATGTCTTATGACAAGTGTAATCATTGTACGCCAGCTTGTAAAAAAACATATACATCATAATAATTGCACAACACATCTTGTATTTACGCTAATGTTGCTTATATATTAAGTTGTTTCGTTATTCATTTTCAACTCATCTGCGTTGTGGTCTTCAAATCTGTGAAAGTTGAGTTAGAGAGAAACAAACATGTCATTAATATTATTGGTTGAACATTCTTTATTCCTTTTGTTGCTAGTAGAGAATCTAAAATCCCCATGTCACAATTCAAGGTAGATGCCGGTGGAGAACCTAAAATCCCCATGTCACAATTCAAGGTAGATGCCGGTGGAGAACCTAAAATCCCCATGTCACAATTCAAGGTAGATGCCGGTGGAGAACTAAAATCCCCATGTCACAATTCAAGGTAGATGCCGGTGGAGAACCTAAAATCCCCATGTCACAATTCAAGGTAGATGCCGGTGGAGAACATAAAATCCCCATGTCACAATTCAAGGTAGATGCCGGTGGAGAACCTAAAATCAGTGTAATCCAAAACATCCTTATTCTTGCAGCAGTTGTTCATCATTGCTTCGTACTTTACGATTCATGCCAGCAGATAAGAGAAAAGCGTTTAGAGATCACATCATCTCCTTGTTAGTGAAGCAGCAAGCCTGCAACGTGACGTAAGTTAAGAGACCTCCTGTGCCAACAGTCCTGCCTAGGACGATTTCATACTTACATATTTTGGTTTTATGAAATTTTAGGTTATTAGATGTTATATGTTATAAATGATTTTGTTTTATGTAATTTTCCCAAGCTTTGAGCACAGTGATTCTATGAAAACCGTTTTTTAAAGTCACATTTTTTTGTTGTTTTATCGCTAAAAGAATGTTTTTTTTATACTGGAATATATTGATACAGAACTTCTGTAATGTGTTAAGCAGCAGATATTTGCGAAATTCAAGACTGTTAGTAAACATATTATAACCCCAACTGGGCTAGATCCACTTGGAAGGCGATTAATATATTATGATTCGACTACAAGATACTTATTACTCAATTATATATTTTTGTAATCGCGAGAGCTCTAATACAATATTTATTCTTCTGTTATATTAAAATTGTTTTGTTTTTCTTTTCAACGTAAGCCTGGCATTTACGTTAACAAATATGGGCGTCCGCAGGGGGACCAACCCCTCCTGGAAAATGAGAAACATAATTATTTCTTTATTCATTGAGCGTATGTATATGAAATTTTTTTTCAGTTTACAATTTCACATTACTCTCCCCCGGAAAACTTTGCCCTTCCTGTAAAATTTCTGTGGACACCCATGTTAACAAATGCTTTATTGTATAATATAATACTTGAAGATGAGCTTTCATCTTGAGAAAGTATGGAAATACATATTTATGTATGTACAGTTGTATATCGTATGAAGACTGAAAATATAATTACCCCACGGCAGGTTGATAACTATAAAGGTTCAGAATGATTACTGCTCTGGCATGGCCTGGTAGTTAAGAAGTTCGAATCCCGTAACCGAACGTGCTTTCAGCCATGGGGTGTTATAATGTAACGATCAAAACCACTTAGTCCCAGAACTGGAGGTGAATGGTGTTCATTAGGTTCCTTCCCTCTGGCCCGTCACTTCAAAATTAGCGCAGGCAAACCTCGTGTATAGCTTTGCGCGAAATTCTGTAAAACAAACAAACAAACTCTATCAAGTCACGTGTGAAATGATAATTGAAATATTTTATCTCGGCCGTTTCAGTTAGATATACAATAAAATATTTTTGATTTGTGGTAGCTGTATTTGAAAATAGTCGTAACATTAATTAACAAGTGATTAATAGGTGGTTAAAGTGTCACACTGATTGAGGAAAATGAGACACTCCTCCTTAGAGCAGTTAAAGTGTCACACTGTTTGAGAAAAATGAGACACTACTCTTTAGAGCAGTTAAAGTGTCATACTGTTTGAGGAAAATGAGACACTCCTCCTTAGAGCTGATAAAGTGTCACACTGTTTGAGGAAAATGAGACACTACTCTTTAGAGCAGTTAAAGTGTCACACTGTTTGAGAAAAATGAGACACTCCTCCTTAGAGCAGATAAAGAGTCACATTGTTTGAGGAAAATGAGACACTACTCTTTACAGCAGTTAAAATGTCACACTGATTGAGGAAAATGAGCCACTCCTCCTTAGAGCTGATAAAGTGTCACATTGTTTGAGGAAAATGAGACACTACTCTTTACAGCAGATAAAGTGTCACACTGATTGAGGAAAATGAGACACTACTCTTTACAGCAGTTAAAGTGTCACACTGATTGAGGAAAATGAGCCACTCCTCCTTAGAGGAATTTAATCGATAAAGATCTGAAACTAAGATCTACACGTTGACATACCTTGACATTAAAGGCTCTTGTACGTTTAAAAACTAATTCAAAACTAATATAACTCTTAAAAAATTGTTTGAATTTTAGATTTTCGTCAGCCACTTCAATTAAAGTTTTGCCTGGACTGGCAAAGTTAATTATCTCAAATGTGGTTTACATTCAAATTTTACAAAATAGTGAACATTTCTAGAATAATAAAACATATAATATTGTTCAAAAATGCCACAGTCTAAGTTACCAGAAGTAACAGTTTTTCTCGCTATAACTCTTTTTTTTTTCACTCGGATCGTCAGTTTTTGTCAATCATGTTAACAATGAAAAATTTTGAATTATTCCAGTTTGTTTGTAGTTAAGCACAAAGCTAAACGATGGGCTGTCTGAGTTCTGCCCACCAGGGGTATCGAAACCCGGTTTCTAGAGTTTTAAGTCCGCTATGCTACTGGGGTCGGATTATTTCAGAAAACAAAACAATTACCTTCTACAGAAATAATGAGTAACCTGCATAGCTGCCGTCCCTTCGTAAAGCATCCAAGTAATGTTAGAATTTATAAGTTTTGGACAATCATGACTACCCAATTCGGACATTTTTTCTAACTAATCCTGAATAGTATTTCCTTATAAAGCTGAATTGAGGTAAGGCACGTTTCTATAAATAACTCTTCATCCTTGTAAAATGAGTCAGCAAAACTGGACAAAATATTTAAATTATATGTTCTCCATAAGTCTGGAAAATTTGGATATTATATAGTTAGCTTACCTGCATCTCGCAAAATGACGTTAGCTGTTACGGTCCCGTTCAGGACGACGAAAAGTAACACACCAGTCACAATAATGGTCATCATCATTGATTACAGCTCCACTTTAAACACTTTTCTACTGATAGAGTAGCAGACAATGTCTCCGTTAATAAGAAATTAAACTTCTTGAAATATACGCGTTCTGCAGGCACGAGCTACAGGTCCTATTTTATCGCGCGTGAGGCGGTGCTCTAGGTTTTTGCGTGGATCGCGAGTTCTGTATGTCGTCAAATTAGCTCTAAAGTTTCAGCGTAACTGGCTCCTCCTCTTATACTTCTGGTACTGGAGATAAAAAAATCCCTCGTGACGCCATGACGACGTCCTATAGGTAAAGTCAATTTCTTTATCCAACGTATAGTCACAGTTAGATCTAATTATAAATATTATTATTTATTAAAGTTCTATTATGATTCAGTTTACTTCACTTTTGAATGACGTAAGCGGGAAAGAAAAATTATTTGACTTATTTGACCTTTATTCTATATAACATAAGTGAATCACTCTTTAATATACTTTTCATTCTATACTAACGATCTACTAGAAATCAAGAAAAAATAAAAGCAAATAAATATATGACACGATTAATACTAATCTGTAAGAAAACAATTTCGTAAGTTAGAAGTCTTAGCTCTTGGAATACGGTCAATTACTATCCTCAAGAAAATACATGCATACTATAGAATATAGCCAATCACTATCCTCAAGAAAATACATGCATACTATAGAATATAGCCAATCACTATCCTCAAAAATGGCATGCATACTATAGAATATAGCCAATCACTATCCTCAAGAAAATACATACATACTATAGAATATAGCCAATCACTATCCTCAAGAAAATACATGCATACTATAGAATATAGCCAATCACTATCCTCAAGAAAATACATACATACTATAGAATATAGCCAATCACTATCCTCAAGAAAATACATGCATACTATAGAATATAGCCAATCACTATCCTCAAGAAAATACATGCATACTATAGAATATAGCCAATCACTATCCTCAAGAAAATACATGCATACTATAGAATATAGCCAATCACTATCCTCAAGAAAACACATACATACTACAGAATATAGCCAATCACTATCCTCAAGAGAATACATGCATACCATAGAATATAGCCAATCACTATTCTCAAGAAAATACATACATACCATGAAATATGATAATTTACTATCATCAAATGTAATATACATATCATAGAATGCGTATAATTTCTTCAACTATGACAAACGTGTCATAGAATACAGATAATAACAATCTTTAAAGAAGTATTGCAATCACAAGATGTAGTCAACCAAGAGTCTCAAACATAGCATATATACATGACATAGTAAACGGCCTAAATTTACTATCTTCAAGAATGATATTTGCAGAGTTGAGTGCGTTTTGTTAAAACGGTTTTGGAGCCTCACCACGTCGTTGCAGTCCATGTTCTCACGTCTGTTTGGAGCCTCACTATGTCGTTACAGTCCATGTTATCACGTCCGGTCATGCTCTGTTTCACGACATTGAATCAGTAAAATAGCCCTACAACGCAGTTTCCATTGCAAAGGCTTCGTCGTAAGACTATCAGGTTAAAAGCACACCCCTCTTCCCTGCAATTTTCCATAATATACTAATACACGAGGATGACGATTTCCCAGTGCCTGTTTCAACAGTCACATTGCACAGAAATCCATAGATGCTGCATCAGACTACTTGGCCAGTACGTCTTCGCGTGGAATAGCATGAATAACCGTTTCATTCACCAGTTGCTTTTAAGGTAGGTGTGTCGTAGAAGCAACCTGCGTACACCTGATCTATGTTACATTTTCAGATGAATATTCTTCTTGGCTATGTTAGATACTGTTGCCTGGGGCGCGTGGTCTGTTTTAACCACGATCTTTGTCAGCTGTTACAAGACGAAGAACTTTAGCTTACTTACCATGACTTGCAGGTCTCTTTTTTTATGGCTTAGTACTCCAAATTAATCCACATTTCTTTGTTATCCAGTGAAATAAGTGCAAGGAGTATCCCATTTTTGGAAATTCTAGAATCTCCGATTTAAACACATCTTTGTGATCTGAGTGTATGTTTGTTTGAATTTATGCACAAAGCTACACAATGGGCTATCTGTGATCTGCCCACCACGGGTATCGAAACCCGGTTTCTAGCGTTTGTAAGTCCGCAGACATACCGCTGTGCCACTGGGGGGGGGGGGCTGAGTGTATGAATATGTCACGTAAAATAGTGTTGTTACATACCTTTCTTAAAAAAAAGATACATTTCACACTACCTACTATACGTCATCAAGTGTAAAATGTAATGTTGATACACGTCATTCGATTGCGAGTTTAAATCGGCTGTGATTATGATATGACTTGGTACTTTGCATATTAAAAGTAGTTTTAATATAACATGCTCAACCCTCTGTATATCGTAGAATAAGGCCAATCACCGTAGTAAAAGAAAATGTACAGTCAATCACTATACTCAAATATGGCATACATACAGTAGGATATTGTCAATTGCTACCCTAGAAGTTGAGATATTTGTCACAGGATAAGATCAGTCACTATTTTAAAAGAAGACGTAGATATCATAGAGTACAGTCAACAGTATCCTCAAAAATATCATGCATACTGTAGAATACAATCAAACACTATCCTTATAGAAGAGATGCTATTATGGTATACGGTCGGTCATGGTTCTTGAAGACAAAATATATATATCACAGAAGAGACCACTCACTATCTTCAAAGATGGCACTGATATAAAAAAATGTGGCCAGTCTTTGTACTCACAGACTAGATGCGTATCATAGAATACATTGAGCCACCGTGCTAAAAACAACATACTTGTGAGAGAATATTATTAATCATTGTAAGGTCAATTACCATCTTTAAAAAAAACACATTCCACACAATAAGGTCAATCATCACTTTCAAAAAAACACATATAATAGAATAAGGTCAATCATCATGTTCAAAGAAAACACATTCCATAGAATAAGGTCAATCACTATCTTCAAAGATAACACATATAATAGAATAAGGTCAATCATCATGTTAAAAAAAACACATTCCATAGAATAAGGTCAATCACTATCTTCAAAGATAACACATATAATAGAATAAGGTCAATCATCATGTTCAAAGAAAACACATTCCATAGAATAAGGTCAATCACAATCTTCAAAGAAAACATACATCATAGAATAAGGTCAATCACTATCTTCAAAGAAAACACACATATAATAGAATAAGGTCAATCATCATGTTCAAAGAAAACACATATTATAGAATAAGGTCAATAACTATCTTCAAAGAAAACATACATCATAGAATAAGGTCAATCACTATCTTAAAAGAAAACATATATCATAGAATAAGATCAATCACCATTCATTGTGAATCACAATAGCTACGAGTGTAAAAAACTCAATATCAAGCTATTCACTCCAATTTCTGAATTCTCATCAAATTCATTTAAAAACAGTCCATTAAAAGCTACACGAAGATGTTTCATTGTTTTTACTGTCCGAAAAGTTTAGAAGTTGCTTGAAGCATGTACCTAAATAATGCTGTACTATTCTTCTGAACGTATACACAAATATTTGTTTGTTCTGTTGAGTTTCGCGCACATCTACACTAGCTTTCCCTCATTTTGGAGTGATAGACTAGAAGGACGTAGTCAACAACACCCACCGCTATCTCCTAGGGCTAGCTTTGTAAGACTGAATAGTTGGATTTGACTGTCACTCTTATAATGTACCCACGGAACCAAATTCAAACTGCAATTTTTTATTTTTTTGTGGTGGAAGGGCGGTAAGAGGAAGCAAATCATGGAACCTCAAATCCCCACATGAATTAGCACAGTAACCCCATGGTCTGTTTATACCCACCTCAAATCCGCACATCAATCAGCACACTAACCGCATGGCCTGTTTATACCCACCTCAAATCCACACATCAATCAGCACACTAACCCCATGGCCTGTTTATACCCACCTCAAATCCGCACATCAATCAGCACATAACCCATGGTCTGTTTATACCCACCTCAAATCCACACATCAATCAGCCCACTAACCCCATGGTCTGTTTATACCCACCTCAAATCCACACATTAATCAGCACATTAACCCATGGTCTGTTTATATCCACCTCAAATCCACACATCAATCAGCACACTAACCCCATGGCCTGTTTATACCCACATCAATAAGCACATTAACCCATGGTATGTTTATACCCACCTCAAATCCGCACATCAATCAGCACACTAACCCCATGGCCTGTTTATACCTACCTCAAATCCACACATAAATCAGCACATTAACCCATGGTCTGTTTATACCCACCTCAAATCCACACATCAATCAGCACAGTAACCCCATGGTCTGTTTATACCCACATCAAATCCGCACATCAACAAGCACACTAACCCCATGGCCTGGTATACCCACCTCAAATCCACACATCAATCAGCACATTAACCCATGGTCTGTTTATACCCACCTGAAATCCACACATCAATCAGCACACTTACCCCATGGCCTGTTTATACCCACCTCAATCAGCACATTAACCCATGGTCTGTTTATACCCACCTCAAATCCACACATTAATAAGCGCATTAACCCATTGCCTGTTTATACTCATATGATCTAGGAAAAAGCTGCTTTTATTTCGTGCGTAACTATTTTCTAGAGTTATTTTCTTCTCTCGAGTCCCCCCGTTTGGCCAACGGTAACTCACGATGTTAAAATCTGCGGTTAGATTTCTTGTGGTGGACAGAGCGTAGATAGCACGTTGTCTGGTTTTGCACTAGAAAGACCGACGTCCAATAAATCTCCACACTGAGGAGAAAAACTACATAATTTTGTTCTTGTTTCTGAAACCGCAACACATTAAGTACATTTTGTTTAAAATTATCAAGTAGTTTCATGTTATTGAATCCTAAAGTGAAGACTTTGTTGTACGATATATGTCAGCTCGCTTTTATTTCGGCGTTTAGATAAACCTTAGATTAACCTTTAATAGGAACCTATAGACTTAGTGTGCGTATCTTTTAGTTGTTTAAAACGACAAGGTTCGTCCATCATATATTATTTTATAGAGAAGAAAAAATTAACCACGACAAATTTG